ATGATTAGAGCTTCTTTTCTATAAGGCTTTAATATCTTGTTCTTTTAAATCTTTTCTCTCTTTCTATATTTTTTTTTCTTTATTGTGCCTGTACTTTTCTTTTTTCTTCTTTGATTCTTTCTTTTTTTCGCATATTGTTTAATTGTAAAAATCTTAACAGATTCTTCAAAATATTATACTAGTATTTTCAGTACTGTTCTATTATATTGCTTTCATTATTTATTCTTTGATCTTGAAGTCTTTTGCTCCAACCTAACTCTATTTTGGGCTTTATATATTTAGCTATTTGTCATTCTTTATTATATTTTATCTATCTTATTTTTTCTGCTTTACTTAAGTTTCTCATAGTTTTGCTTATTTTTTCATATATAATATATACAACAGGGTTTGTGCCTATTTGTATTGCTTCTTGATATTCTATATTGTTTCTTTTTCTAAGTACATATTCTATATATTTGATTTTTCTTGCTTTATATTGTTTAAGCTTTAAATAAAAGTACTTTATTCATGTCTTTGCTTGTTCTGCTAATATCTACTTTTTTCTAAAATTTTCTGTTATTTTTTTTCTTCACATAACTATTTGATTGTTGTGTTTGTATATCTTCTTTGTTTATATTTACCATATAGTTCTTGACATGTTTTCTTTATTTATTTTTTATTATATATTGTAAGTTTTGTAACAAAAATAGATCTGTATTATGGAGTTAAAGCTAAATCTCTAAAAAACTCACAAAGAGCAAAAATTATTATTAATTTTTTATATTTTTTTTTATATCTTTGTATTTTCAGCTTTTTTTGCTCAAGTCTTTTAAGAGACTGAGTATTCTTTATAGTTCTTTTCTTTTTTCTTAGAGCTGTGAGTTTGGTTTTTTAATAGCCTTTGTGTGTTTTCTACTATTTATTATTAATTTTTGTTTCTGCAAGTTTGTATATAAAGGATTAGCAGAAAGATAGAGATGTTAACAGTCCAGTCTAGCTCAGTTTGGTTAATTTTAGTTTAGTTCCAGACTGGTCTTTTTTAGTCTAACTATAGTTTAGCTCAAGACTATTTAAAAGACTATTGGTTAAAACTTTTAGTCAAACTTATAATAAAAGACTAGCTTTAGACTAGTCTTTTATTATAATAAATGATCAGTTTTAAACTAATCTTATATTATAATTTAAACTAAACTTATAATAAAGAACTAGTTTTAAACTGATCTTTCAAAACTAGTTTTAGACTAGTCTTTTATTATAATTTAAACTAAACTTATAATAAATGATTGCTTTTAGACTAACTTTTAAAACCTAGTTTTAAACTGATCTTTAAGAACTAGTTTTAGATTGATCTTTTATTATAATTTAGTCTAAACTTATAATAAAAAATGGCTTTAAACTAGTTTTAAAGACAGATTTTAGACTGATCTTCTATTATAACTTAAATTATACTTATAATAAAGAACTAATTTTAGATAGGTCTTTATTATAATTTGAACTAAAAGCAAGATCAGATCAGTTTTAAAGAGAGATGGGCAAGATAATATATAATAATCTTTTTTTTTGCTCTAACACTAACAAACAGTATTATTTATTATTACTTACAGCAAATAATTACATTAAATAATCTGCTATTTTTGCTTCTTATTATTAATCTTTATTATTATTTATTACAGTCATGACTCTCTAAATGCACTACCTTCTAGACCATAGTAAAAAAAATATTTAAAATATGCATTTAGAGGTATATATATTTATAGAAAGAAAAAATATATAAAGCAATTATAAGCTAAAACCAGACTATACTGTACATTTATAGATTATGCATTTATGAAATTGTAATTATATATGTAAAAATTAGAAGAATAATGATAATTGGAAATAATAAGTAATAATATGTATTTAAACTTGCCCACCTAGTTTTTTAAAAAATTTATTATAAATATACGCAACTATAGATGCTATATTAATTTGTCTATATTGCTACCCAGTGAGACCATGAAAAATAATTAAATAATTGAATTTTTAATATACAAATGACCCTCGTTAATATCAACCTAAGCTATAAAATGAATTCTGGATATTAAAAGTATATTAAAAATTTCCTTATATATATCAACTTTTAATATAATCACTTGCTAATATCACTATCAACATGAATATAAAAGCATTCCAAATAGATCGATATTAATGAAGAACTTCTGTAATAAAAACCTACATTAGGGTTGGGATTGTACTAAAATTTTACAGAGAATTTTTTTGTTAGTGTGCAATAGGTGGTTTCATGAAGAGTTGATTATTAAAAACGATCTGATTGGTGCATCTGCAATAATCTTTTATAGTTCTACTGGGGTAGCTGGTTTTACTACAAAATCCTGATATTTAAAATATAATATTAATATCATACTACATGACAATTAAAATTTAAAGTCTTACAATAGTTGTTAATATACTTACTAATCTTTAAATATTAATTGTCATATTGGGTGTCAGGATTTTGTAGTAAATTACTGCATATAATAATTATATAAAAATTGTAATATATTGATAAAATCTGGTATAACAGTAGTGTATATTAAATAAGTTTTTCTTATTGCTATTCATTATTTCTTGTCTTAATTAGACCAAGACCTTCTGTAAGAGCAGTGTCATTTATCACCTGATTATTTTTTATCAGAGGCTTACTCCCTCTTAATATAAAAAAAATCAGATTCTTATATATAATTTTAACTTTTTTTACCTCCTTCTTCTCTAAAAAATCATCTGATCCCTAATCTAGTTTTTTAAACAAAGGCAAGCTCATGCAGTTTTAAGCAAAAGATAATTTCTTATTTTACTAATTGTTAAACCTGCTAGGGAGAATACTTTTACACAAAAGATACTAGTGGCTTGTATAGTAAGGTAATTTTTTGTAAGTTTTGATAGAACTGGATATTTAGTTTGATAAACTTTCTACTATGAGAGGGGATTTGTATAATTAGTGATTTCTTTCAGAAAAGTCTTTAGTGATTAATTCTGTTGATGGCGTATTATTACTTTTTTAAAATAAGAAAGAGGAAAGAATAATGGATCGTTTGATGAGTTTGGCCACCATTATTACCAGTAGATTGGTATTATTTAACAACAGTTTGAAGCTTTTGTTTTACTAATTTAATTTGATGAGATAAAAAATTTGTTAATTTGAATTAGAGATCTAAAATAGCTAGAATAGTTGATTGATCATCAAAGTAGTGGCTCCAATATTCTTTTAACTTGGAATAGATAGCATTTGCAAATTGATATAATCAACACTAGTATTGAAATAGGCTTCTAATTTAGCAGAGATGTCTAAAAATACTACTCATATATCGGCAATGGTCAGATGTAAAGAAGAAGATAAAAAGATTGTAGTTTCATATATTGGTCACAATATGGATAATAAATTTTAATTATTGTTATATTGGAAATTGGTTTTAATTAGATTAGAGCTTGAATCTGGTTATCTGTTAGATGCAAATTTAATAGTAAAATCTATCAGATATCTGTTAAATTTAATATGAAAATGAATGACTAGATCCAAGCTTTAAATTAGATTTTTTGCAGTATTAGCGATACTACTTTATAATCAATTGATTAATAATATATTTTATTAAAAGAGCTACCTATATTGCAATAGATTCTCTTAATTGAATAGTACTTACATTTATTTATTTATTTTTTTATTATTAAGATACAAACCTCCAAGTTCTAGTAGATTACTATTTACAAGAAGTTTAATTACCTTCTTAAGCTCAACTTCTCGCTCAATAATTACATAAATGAAGTTTCATCTGATTTCATTATCAAGCACCAATGCTAAGTATAGCCATCCTTTAATTTTGCATATATTACACAAATTATTTATTAATTTTGAAGAGAATTTTACTTTCTTTACAAATTTGCATAATTTATGTAAGGTATTATCAACAATTTCTATACCCATATAATCACTAAATTTATTATATGCACAACACAGCAATGGTGCTTAAAAGTAGTATTATTATAGTTTGAGCTAAAATTTTGAGTTAGATACTTTTCACTTGCAATTATATTTGCGCTATTGTCCTATTAAAAAAAAATAAAATAAGATTAAAAAGGTTAATAAAAAAAAAAAAAATTAAAAAGGTAAAAAAAAAAAAAAAGTTAAAATAAAAAAAAAGTTAAAAAGGGTTTAAAAAAAATCTTACTGTAGTTAATCCTAAGATTTTATCATTTAGATTGAATTCATTTAAAAGATTAGAAATTATATTTGCTATATTAACTCCTGTATAGTTTATGATAAGTAAGATGATATCTAGCAGGAAGTGCTTTAATTTCTAGTTATTGTTAATATAATATAAAGTGATTCTAAAATAGAATTCACCTGTATTAGAAGTCCAGATATTTGCAGTTAGAGAGATATACTATTTATTAAAATTTTTAATTATAATATCTTTAAGGTATTGATGATTTGGGGCTGTATATCTTGGATTGAGAATATTAATAAAGTTTTTAAAATAATCATTTTCAACTGTTATAAAAGATTGCTAATCTACAATTATCTATTTTAAAAGTACATTAGTGATAAAATATTGCTGCTCACGTGAGTATGGATGATGGCATGTACTTGAAGATGTTTCAAGTATGCTAGCATAGTGATTAGGATGTATATTATGTAAATAATAATATAATGTTGTTGTTGGGCATTTTTTGCTATATTTTTTATTTTCACATAAATTGCAAATAATATAGTTATTGTTTTTTGTAAAGAACTTTCAAGCTTTTAATATGGTAACAATAATTACAGAAAATCAAAAATTATATAATTTTCAATTAGTGTTTTAGCTTCTATATTTATAGATATTTTCTTAATAGTTCAGCTAAAGAGCATTTATCTATTATATAGTAAGTGTTTTTATAAATTATATAGTTCATACATTGATTTTTATAACTTATTTACTAATTTATTATTTAATAATTAATAGCTTGTATATTTGTTATTCAATTCCTAATATATGATATAGAGGTTAAAGTTTAGTATAAAAGATACTAGAGGTCTGCACAGGCCAGGCCATAATTAAAAATTTTAAAAACTTAAAATTGTGATTCTGGTATATTAAGAACATAGTAAATTAACTGAACTTTTAAAAAAACAGTAAATTTTATTTTGTGTAGAGCTCTAAGAGACACCATAGTTAAATTTTTTAAAATATTTAAAATAAATATTAAAATTTTTATTAAAAATTTAAATATATATATATAATTATATGAATTTTATATTTTTTCACATATGTGAAATATTGTATACCTCCTGTTATACAGATCTACATTATATAAATAGATAGGTGTAGTTTTTTTATTTGTTTTTGCTTTTTTTTTTACTAATGAGTTTTTTTTTAGTACCGTTCTGTACATCGTTGGATTGTTGTTTCTTCGTTTGCTTCTAAAGTTATATTTCATGTTTCATCATATTGGTAAATGCAGCTTTTTTTTTTGTTACTGTATTTTTTCTTTTCTTTACTAACTAGCTTTTTTTTTGTAGTCGTATCATTAGATTTTTGTTTCGCCATTTGCATTTGGTTCTTCATCATATTGTTTAATTATTTCGTTAGATTGTCATTTCATCTTTTGCTATGAGCTGGGCATCATTTACTAGTGAATTTGCATTTGGTGCTTCATCATATTGGCAAGTATAGTTTTTTTTTTTTTGTTTTCTTTTATATGGCCTTTTTTTTCTTTATTAACTTAACTTTTTTTTCTAATTGTGTTGTTGGATTGTTGTTTTGCTATTGCTAGTGAGTTGGCCGTCATTTGCTGATAGGTTGGTTGTCATTCGCTAGTAGGTTAGTCGTCATTCGCTAGTAAGTTGGTCATCGTTTACTAGTGGGTTAGTCATCATTCACTGGTAGATTGGTCATCGTTTGCTAGTGAAGTCACTTTGGTGCTTCGATATATTGGTATGTTAGTTTTTTTCATGTTGCCTTTTTTCTTCTTTTCTGTACTAACTAGTCATTTTAATCTTGTCATTGAATTGTCATTTTGTCGATTACTTGTAGAGTTGTATTTAATATCATCATTCCCAAGGGTCATCATCTACCGGTAGAATCGTATATAGTTTGCATTCTATAAAATTGTCATTTACTAATAATCCAGTATTGCTATTTTGAGAGGACATCTAAAGTAGAGACAAATTAAGTAAACACCTGCCAATCAAATTATAGAATTTTAATGATCGTTGGCGAAGCAAACCAAAAACCCAAAAAATACAGAAAATAGCCATCTAAACCTACAACGAGTAGGTTAATCAAAAATGTAGAAAAGCAATTTTGCTTATATTTAACTACCTAAAACCTATCTTAATCCCAATATAGGATGGTCCTAACTCTAAAGTTAATTGATAATATTATTAAGAAATATGAATGCTTCTGCTTTAGATATCCCTATTTTGAGCTATATTTGGTGTATTCGCCTATGTCTATTTTATTATTGCTAAGTGATAGTATTATATTATGTATCATCATGTCATAATTTGTAAATTTTTTTTTGATGGGGTTTTTTTGATGAGTTTTAATTTAGTTCAGATTTTAGGGTTAGGGTAGTGATTAAGTTAAAGGTTAGGGTAGAGTTTTATATTAGTTGTACTTTTTCTCGATGATGTTATAATGAGATAGTGCTAAAAAAATTAATAAATAATGCTAATTTTTATTAATAAATCGATAGTTGCAGATTGTGTAATGGATATTTAATAGTCATGTGATTTATAGGGACTGGTGATATATCACTATAGCAGTATTTTATAAAATTCTAATTATATAATATATATTTTTAAATTTTAATATTTTTAATATTTTTAAAAAATTTTCTAAAATCAGTAGGTTCAAGAAATATTTTTAGTAATTATAATTTTATTGATATTAATATTCTGCTATTTATTTGTTTATTTTCATTGCTGTGAGAAAACTAATTCTAGATAGGGTAAGATATTATCAAATCAATATTATAACAACAGGAGGAACCATTAATATTACACGACTGATCCTTTACCCAGTATGCAACATATAAAAAAATTATTTTACAATATCAAATAATTCCACTAGTACATGTTATGATTATAATTCTACACTATTTTATTATAATAAAAATGGTATAGGATTATAATTATAACATATACTAGCAGAATGATCTGGTATTATAAAATAATTTTTTTATATATTGTACACTGAGTAAAAGATTAGTCATATAATATTAACAGTTCTTCTTGTTTATTATAATATAAAAAAAATTATTTTATATTCTGTATTTTCATGAAATAATGAGAATACATATTATTTTAAATAATAGCAGAATTAAAATTTAAGACACTATGTCCAAAGTTTGTTATTTATTTAAATCTCTCTAAGTGCTAGAAGTCTGCAAGTACTATACTAGATATATTAAGTATCATTGTCTAGCACTAGTACTTGTAAAGTTACCTATATCTATAAATATGAAAGCTCTAGACATTTTGTAGACATGCATATAAAGTTCTAAGCACTTTAAGGCCAAGTATTTTGTGCCTTATTTAGACTAAGACTTTTATGCTTATAACAAATTGTCTAATATATGGGCTGCCATCAATAGAAATCAAGCAAATCTACATTTGAAAAAAAATCAATACCTTAAATTTCACAGCTCATATCTTAATAAATTTTAAAGGTATCTTGATGATTTAATATTTAAAAGAAAGCTTACGATCTAAGCTTTCTTTTGAATATTAAATAATCAAGATACCTTTAAAATTTATTAAGATATGAGCTGTGAAATTTAAGGTATTGATTTTTTTTCAAATATAGATTTGCTTGATTTCTATTGACGGCAGCCTATATAACTAATATCTTCGTGCCTATACCTCAAAAGTGTCCAAAGGTTTTATGCTAGATATTTTGTATCTGTATTCATGTCAGACTTGTATATCTTTATTAAGTGTAGCTTGTAGGAACAGAACTTTTGACAACATGTTTAGAACAAATAAAAAAATTAACACTTATAGAGACTAAGAATATATTTGGATTGAGTTGTAAAGTTGCATTTAGAGAAGTTGCACTTTTATTTTATTATTATAACTTTTTTTAGGTTTTTTTTATTTTTATAGTCAAACTTCTCTAAATACAACTTGTAAAGACTAGACTTATGACAACACAGAATATTTATACAAAATATTCACAAATATTTCACACAAATATTTTACACAAATATTTACAGAAAATAGTTATACAGGTATTTATAATATAATTCTTAACTATTCACGATTTTTGTATAACAGAATATTTACTACTAATTGAATATTTATTTTATCTGTGAATATTCTTAGATTTCAACTCTAGAACCAATAGTAAAAAAATTTGAATATGCACTTAGAGAGGGTGTTTTTTTTATAAAGAGCTATATTTAT